CTCTAAATGTTAAAGTTCTGAGTGACCCACCTCTCTAAATGTTAAAGTTCTGAGTGATCCACTTCTCTAAATGTTAAAGTGCTGACTGACCCACCTCTCTAAATGTTAAAGTGTTGAATGGCCCACCTCTCTAAATGTAAAATGCTGAATGGCCCACCTCTCTAAATGTTAGTGTTGAGTGGCCCATCTCTAAATGTTAAAGTGTTGAATGGCCCACCTCTCTAAATGTTAAAATGCTGAATGGCCCACCTCTCTAAATGTTAAAATGCTGAATGGCCCACCTCTCTAAATGTTAAAGTGTTGAATGGCCCACCTCTCTAAATGTTAAAATGCTGAATGGCCCACCTCTCTAAATGTTAAAGTTCTGAGTGACCCACCTCTGTAAAAGTTAAAGTGCTTAATGGCCCACCTCTCTAAATGTTAAATGCTGAATGGCCCACCTCTCTAAATGTTAAATGCTGAATGGCCCACCTCTCTAAATGTTAAATGCTGAATGGCCCACCTCCACAGGGGCAACATACCAGGAGGAGCAGTGCAGGAGGGACAGGAGCTGTGTCACTACATGCCCCTCATCCCTGCTAAAGGAACAGGATTCCAACGCTACGTTTACGTCCTCTTCAAGCAGGACAATTACATCGATTTCCAGGAGGAGGTCAGGGAGTCTCCATGGTGAGAAAACTTTAATAACATTACATGACTGTACTGTTATAACATGTTCTGTTCTACAGGATACAATCTGTACTCATTCACACATTCATTTATACATTCATTCAATCATTCATTTATACATTCATTCACACATTCATTCACACATTCATTTATACATTCATTTATACATTCATTTATACATTAATTTATACATTCACACATTCATTTATACATTCATTTATACATTCATTTATACATTAATTTATACATTCACACATTCATTTATACATTCATTTATACATTCATTTATACATTGACACATTCATTTATACATTCATTCACACATTCATTTATACATTCATTTATACATTCACACATTCATTTATACATTCATTTATACATTCATTTACACATTCATTCACACATTCATTTATACATTCATTTATACATTCATTTATACATTCATTCACACATTCATTCACACATTCATTTATACATTCATTTATACATTGACACATTCATTTATACATTCATTTATACATTCATTTATACATTCATTCACACATTCATTCACACATTCATTTATACACTCATTTATACATTCATTTATACACTCATTTATACATTCATTTATACATTCATTTATACATTCATTC